CGGGGCGGGGCCGCGCGCCGCCGTCTGCGGGTGGGTCCGGCTCTGACCGCCGGGAGGGAAGGGCCAGGCCTGGGCACTCCAGAGGCCCCACTAGGCGGGGCCCTGTCGGAGGGTTAGCCCAGAAGTGAGGGGCAGGCTCTCCCGGCACAACTTTGAGGCGGGGGTGGGGGTTCAGCTGCTATGTGGACCTCGCTGAGCAGGACATTTCCGCCTTAAAGCAAGGGACGCGCCTCCCCGGTGGGGCAGGGGTGAGTCTCAGCGCTATCAAGCTATCACCTGGCCAGGGAGTGACCCGAGGGCCCAGCAGTCCCCCCCGCACCCCCTCCCCGTGCTGCCCTTCAGCAGCAGATCCGCCTGTTCTGCTCCCCACGCTGTCTCTGGAGCGTCCTCTCACCCCCTGCACCCCTGGGCTGCACCAGCGATCTTGCGTGCATAAATAAATCTTAAAAAGACATACGAGGTGACAGCTGAGGCCTAAAGTCGGCCTGCAGGCCGCCTGGAGTTTCCCCACCGGCCCGGGGGTCATCACCCAGACCAGGGGACAGAGCAGTTTGTGTGGGAGGGGAGAGGGCCACCCACGAGGCTCTAATGGGCGATTTTGCGAAGGGCTGGGAGGGCCTGGGGTTGGGGGGCTGTCGGCCACTTCCCCCCCATCCGCAGGAACCCTGACGGCGATGTGCAGCCGTGGTGCTACGTGGCCGAGTCCGAGGAGGGCATCTACTGGCGCTACTGCGACATCCCCACGTGTCACAGTGAGTGACCGCGGCTGAGAGGGGAGAGGGCGTGCGGCGGGACAGGGGCCGACTCCGGCCGCCCACCGAGCCTGACTCTGCCCTCAGTGCCCGGGTATCTGGGCTGCTTCGTGGACTCGGGGGCACCCCCGGCCCTCAGCGGCCCCAGCGGCACCTCAACCAAGCTCACGGTGCAGGTGTGCCTCCGCTTCTGCCGCATGAAGGGCTACCAGGTACTGCCCGCCTCCACCCCGCGTGGCCAACTGACCTCGGGGCCCAAATCAACTCCCAGTCCAGACCCCCCCCACCTGGACCCCAGATTCCCCACCCCCAGCCCTGCCCCAGGGGACACCCGTCTGTGCCCCCAGCTGGCCGGCGTGGAGGCTGGCTACGCCTGCTTTTGTGGCTCTGAAAGCGACCTGGCCCGGGGACGTCCGGCCCCCGCCACCGACTGTGACCAGATCTGCTTCGGCCACCCGGGTCAGCTGTGCGGCGGCGATGGGCGCCTGGGCATCTACGAGGGTGAGGAGTGGGCAGGGATGAGAGGGGCGAGGGGCTGGGTGGGACCCGGGGTGCGGTGCCCTGGAAAGGGGACACTGGCCCGGGAGCGCGTGGGAAAAGGAACGGGGCTGAGGGCGGGAGCCTGGGGCGGGGGGCGGAGCCTGGGGCGGGGTCAAGGGTCGGGGCGCCTGTGGGAAGACTTGGAGGAGGTGGCAGAGACCTGGTGAACCTGGGGTGGGCACGGTTTCAGGGTCAGGCGGCCCTCGCGCCGACGTGGAGCCCCGCCCCAGAAGGAAGGGCCCGCGGGCCGCTTCTGACCGCCCGGCCTGCCCACAGTGTCGGTGGGCTCCTGCCAGGGGAACTGGACCGCCCCTCAGGGCGTCATCTACTCCCCGGACTTCCCGGATGAGTACGGACCGGACCGGAACTGCAGCTGGGCTCTGGTTCCTCCGGGCGTCGCGCTGGAGCTCACCTTCCGCCTCTTCGAGCTGGCCGACCCGCGAGACCGGCTGGAGCTGCGCGACGCCGCCTCGGGCGGGCTGCTCGGCGCCTTCGACGGCGCCCG